TATTACAAAAGGCGTTAGGACATGGTTTTGACGAATTCATACCTTAATTGCGGGATGGTTTTTAGTCGTAGAGATTTCTAACTTTTTTTATTTGAAAGCCCATGTCTCAAACTATAGGTAAGCATATCTGGCTTCCGATTTTGTGTACTCTGCGAAATGAGGCAAGGTCAAATTTGGAGAGGTGTCCTTTTTTAGTTTTCCAAACCAGTGTACTTATAAAATGGCGTTGAACAAGATATTTTTTTCTGAGGTCCTGATGCAAAAATCGTCTTTGCGACTATTTTTAAGGGACTTAGCATGCTTTTCACTATATAAAACCACTTTTGCCTCATGCTTATCTTTTAAGTCCGTTTTACAGTCTAATTTCATACTTGTCCTAATGAAATGCGCTCTTTAACGCAACTCTTCCACTTTTAAGGCCCCCACATTTTACGACTTTGATGCTAAAAATCCCTAACGTGGTTTTTATCCAAGGTACATATAGTATATTGCACTGTAAGTACTTTTGACAAAATTTTGATAAGTGGTTACACCCCACGGACTGAGTTTTCATCAGACCTTGTAAAATTATTGGAAAAGTTCCCGTCGTTTTCGATGTCGAACTTCAGAAATAATTTAACTAACCAAAACGCAATAATTTTATTATTTTGTCACTTGTACCTTGTAGATAAAATAGTTCTGCAGTAAGGGACACAAAAAGATTAGTAAAATTTATTTTCGAAAAAATTTGACCATTAATTTTCCAAATAAGTTCACGAGTTTTTTAGGATTCTGCGACAGCTGATTAGCTCGGGTCCTTCTATAAAACTGTTTACACAAAATCTTGACTGTTTGTTTTAATATTACTTAGGACACTTCCAGCTTTACCCTCAAGCTGCATTTGACCCGGTGGGTCAACTTTCATGGTCAGCAGGTTAATTTTTCCGCGCACGGTCTGATTTATCATTTTTTGGGCAAACTATCCGCGATGATGGAAGGCCCACGTTGTGTGATTCATTACGGATTCTTTTATTATTACATGCAATGATTATCTAGGGTTATTATATTAACAATCATTCACCTCTGACCTCTTTGGTTATCATGCTATATAAGCAATTAAGTTTGGAAAGTGTTTTTTTGGCTTCTACCAACTCCGGGGGCACTGTAGGGTGCATTTGTGAAGCTATCACCCTAAAATTTTAAATATATCTTTTTGAGAGTATTATCTTGCAACCTACCAAAAATTAGTCCAAAATTCAACTCCCCGCCAAAGATATTCACCCGAGAATTCTTCAAAACCATCACCTAACGCCTTTTGTAATCCAAGCAAATATTCGTCAGTAGCTTGTTCCCCTTTGGCGAGTGGGCAAGAATAAACTTTGGACTAACCGCCTACATAATAGCATGGGGTCAAAATTATTTGTAAGTGAGGAATTTCCTTGCCTTATGTACATACACTCTAAACATTTTTATAGACAAAATTTTTTTACAGAAAGGAACTGAATTTCGTAATAACCACGTCACGCATATGAGATTTCCGTCCGTGGCTAAAAATCTGCTTAATCAGTGCCCAAAAAATAAAGCAGTGTAGTAAATACCTCGGAGAGTGACGATTTGTCTCCAAACTATTTAAGTTTAGGTACTGTTACATATTTAGGTAAATATATCGAATTTCGGGAATAATTAAATAAATTTAAAACAAATTTCAGCTTATTTACACAATTCTGCTTGTATCTGGGTTCTTTAATCCTAACGTCAGAATTTCTGCCAAGACGATGATTTCCCCGGAGAAAGTAGACGAGTCTCCAAAAGACTGGCTACTTGCAAAACCCGGGTTGGCAGACGGATCGGGACAATTAGAAATTCGGAAATTATTCAATTCCATCTTCGATACCGGTAATGATCGCAGCCTGTTTTAAGGAGTTATAGTAGGGGCGGCGCACAAACCAATTTCAACCCAGATCATGTTTCGCCCACATTAGATTTTTTGAAAGACAAATTCCTTAGAGACAACATGTACTCTTACACTTGTGCAGATGCGCAAAATTGAGAGCGATCTACGTAGGTGTTTTATTATTAATTTTCAAAAGGTATGTTCCGCACTGTTTCTGACCAAAATTGTGATGAAATAACAAACTTCAAATACATTTAGGAGGCTGTGATTTTTTTCAGTTCTTAAGGTTAACGTCAACACTAGCAATAAATCGGCAAACTTTACCTCGACGGAAAAAATGCTAGATTTGCAAATTAAATATCGTAGTGTGATTTAATTTGTAATGCTGGATAGGCAATACGTGTCGCAGATTTATGGTTGAATGCTTAAAATGTACAATGAAAACTGCCCAACACGAAACACAAATTCAATTGGGTCAATAATTTTTAATTATGGCGAAACGAGGTCTCGGGCAAAAAGTTGCAAGGATGCTCAAAATTCGCTTCTTCCACAGAAAGGCTCCGGAAACTAGAGGAACAAATAATGAGAGATCCGCGATTGAAACTGTCCTATATAGCAGATGAGATGGGTGTTCCAAAACCAGCAATTTGTTCCATGTTAACTGAAGACTTAGGTATGAAAATGGTTTCCGTCCGTTGGGTACCAAAATTGCTTTCGGCATCTCACAAACAGGACCGAGTCGACTTTTCCAATCCCAATTTTAATCTATTAAATAAAGACTTGAACCTGCTCAATATTTTATTAGTTGCATATGGTGCTTGGGTATACTATTATGACCCGGTGACCAAATAATAATTCCCTCATTGGAAGCACGAGGGGTTGCCACCGCCCGTGAATTGAAAAGTGCAAAAATCTGACAAAAAAATTGATGATGACCATTTTCAAGGATACCAAAGGTCCCCTCCTTATAAAATTTATTGCTGGTAATACTGCAATAAATGGGGCCGTGTATGCAGGAACCCCGAAGGAGCTGCGTCCTCCGGTTGAAAAGAAACGTGGGGTCAAAATAAAGAGTTGGCCTTTTTTTAGACTACAACGCGCCACCTAATACCTGGCTTTTTGCGAGGGTTAGTGCAGACGAAAATCGCTTTACCTGCACAAACCACGCCCCGTGCAGTCCAGACTTGTCCCTTAGTGATTATTATTCGTTTCGAAACTTAAAGAAAAACATCAGGGGAAAACGGTTTTCGGATGATAATGAAATCAAGTCGTAAATTTTGGCATATTTTCGAGGTAAATTTTAATGAGTTATTGCTAGTGTTAATGTTAACCTACAGAACTGAAAAAAATCACAGCATCCTAAAAGTATTTGAAGTTTGTTATTTCATCAAAAGTTTGGTCAGAAACAGTGCGGAACATACCTTTTGAAAATTAATAATAAAACACCCACGTATGTAGGCGCCACAATGGAGAGATAATTCTTGGCTGCTGGCGCAATGCATAGATTCCGCTTGACAACTAAGGGTTTTCACTAACTTGCGGCGCGAAAAATACTCCGAATTTTCCGCATCTGCTCATGTGTCGCACTATTTAGTTACATATGTCTAAATAGTTTGTCTATCCAACTAACATGGCCAAAAATTAATCTGGGCTGACCCTCGTTCGCGTCCTCCATTGTGAGCGAGAAAAAAATTCCCACCTTTGTGCACCCCTTGAAAAACATTTCTTTGTTTACCTCAACCTTTTCAACAATTAGAAATTCGTTCAAAGATATGTACATGTGAGACTATTAGTCAAATTGGGATGGAAATTTGTTACTAAAGCCTTTGAAAAATATATTTACAATCTTTGCTAGTTTGTCCTAGATCACGATTTTTAAAAAAAGCTTCAGTTTGCTTAAATCTAGTCTGATAATGACATAATAATAATAATAATAATAGCCTTTATTATCCTCATTTACTAGTACTAGGGAATGCACAAAAATGAATTTAGCATAGCACACTAGCCTATTTTCGTGAGCTTACATCCTATTTAAGCCATTACTACTACCGTCAACGACGTCAAATTATAAATTTAACTAGATGAACAAAACAAAACTAACTCGCTACCTACTGGCGCGACTATGTTGGTTGCATACCAAGACTAGTAATGTTTGTAAAATTTAGGTACATATAAGATAATCCAATATTTAACCAATTGACAAATTTTAATTAATAACTTGTGTTGGAAAAATGCACAAAAAACCAACTAAATTTTGAAATACAAACCAATTTTTGATTCCCCAACCAACCGAGGAGTGAGGGACAGAGGCCGCGTGGTAATTCAGATTGTAAAAAAACACATTAAAATAAAGAATTAATAAACAAATTTTGACTGGAATAGTTGACCAGCTTGATAAAGAACGATTTTCGCACATTGCCAATTAAAATTAATGTTATTACTAATTAAATTTAGTTAAAATTAATATAATATAAATAAATTTAGGAGAGCTCGTGCAAGAGCAAATCCTCCTCGGTTGGCGCGCAGACGGGGAATGACATATTCGTGTTGCTTGTGAACAGTGGACACGACCGGGGAACGTGAAGGGCGGCAATATTGGGGGACTGGAGGGTGTTGCAGGGACCCCTGGCACGATCAGATGGACACCTTCCTTCTCCGGTACTATATCTACCATGGGTTCCAAAACACATGGAGGAGTCAAGGCAACTCTCAAGGCAATGTTGGTAGTACGGTTTACGATCCTTCTTCTGATATTGGTATCGCCAACCCAAATTTCTTGCCGATACCAATTGAAAATTTCGGTTAGCTCGCATCCTGTCAGCGAGATACATAAATTGTAATAGTCCGGTCTCAACTTATCATCGGATGTCTTCCGGATCTTTTGATTGGAAAATATTTAAGCGGGATGGATTTGATTTGAATTTCAGCCCGCTCGAAACGTTAATTAAGTGGGAATGTGTTTCTGGCGGGCAGAAATTCCATCACGCTTAAATATTTTCCAATTAATAGTGTCGCAGAAATAAATATGTGTGAGTGCAATGCTTCATGTGAGCTGGAATGTAATTAATATTTATGTATTTAGAATTATGAATGCATTTATTTCATTCAAAGGTAAGATTAATTTTAAGAGTGCATACATTTAACAAATTTAGGGAAAAAAGCCTGTCACAAAAAATTATCAAGTGTCTGGATCCCACAACCTAGCAAAAATTGAAATGGGTAGGTTTTGGCTTCAGGCCCCTCCCCCCTCTCAAACATAGTTTTGCAGAACAGGAAAGAGAAAACTTAGCCGTGAGTAAATGTGATTGTGTGCAGTTAGTGTAACTTACATAGATAGTTATAACTATACAAATTACTAGTCTGGAATTATCTAACCTATGTATGCGTAAAATTATTCTTGATAGATTATTTTTCTAAGGAATACCCATAGAGCACAATTATTATCTAATTTACATATACATATAAATGAGTTCTAATTAATTATTCTTTGAATAATATAATTTAGTATTTTTAGGTAATCATAAATTTTTGAGTAAATTTTGAGTAAATTTTTCATTTATCTTCTGCTAAACTAATGAAAAGATTTCTGCGTAATAAGGTTCATGTTGCATAGATAATTTGCTAACTTAACATTTCCTTCATGACATGATTTTAATAATATTGTGATTGAAAAGACCCCAGCCAAGGCAACCTTAATAACCCATACGTACTTATCTGTTCATCACATTCTCGTATATATCGTGAAGATAAACGTAAAAATCCCCAAAACGCCGTGGGTACAATTTTCTAAATTGATTCCATTCTACGTTAGAGTTCGATACGGCGCCGAGCTTACAATCTGTTATGAAGACTGGTGAATTTGTTTCGAGCAATTTTGCTTCACATTTCTTCAATGCAATTACTTCAAGTCCGTCTGCAATTGCAATCTTATCTGAGCATTGCACATTGTGAAGGGTCCCATTGTTTGCAGAAACTAGGACACCTTTACATTTTATTTCGTCCAGATTACAATTTAATCCTCCAACAGATATTCCCAATTCTGTGGGAAAATCTCCTTGACAAAATAGTTCGTTTCGCGAGTCTGGAATTAACGAATTATTTTGAAGGGGATTATCTAGCAGGATCGACTGGCCAATACGCTTAAGGGAACCATAGTCGCCGGAAATGACTATTTGAACTTGTCCTTTCGTGACATACAAATCAGAAATGTCCAAGTTTGGTCGGCAATAAGTATAAATTAGAAAGTACTCCGACGTCGTGTTTTCAATCGTTACGCGTTGCAACATATGGTTATCGCCCTGCACAATAATTCCACACGAGTTGGGTTCTTCATCTGCGCGATAGTCACTCTGATACACGGCTAGTGTAACTATGATGTCATTTATTTTATTATGTGACCTTGTTACCAATATATTTGGAGTCTCCCCTTTTGCATGACAAGCGACTTTCAACTTTGAAAGGGTACAATGACTTGCAGCTAGGTGGATGTTTCTTGTGGGACGTAAATCAATAACGGTGTTTGATCCTTGACCAATAATACTCACTTTGTCCATGTGCAGGACAATTCCACCGAAATAGGTTGTCTCTACCAATCGGATGGTGCATCCACTTGAAACAAATTTGAGACATAGTTGTAACTCTTCACTTGTTCTCGCAAGGATTTCTTGTCGGGGAATTTTAATTTTCTTGATATTCAGTAGTTTGGAGGCCTTAGTTATACTTTTTAATCTGTCGATCGGGCTCCTCTTAGTGCAGGATATGATAAATTGTTTTAGCCTTATACCAAGGAGGGGATGTTCTTGTACTAATTTCTCGTCTTTATCATACACTAATTTGTTGAATAAACTGAGACTTTCATTAGGCGGGATTAATGCCGTTGTTTCCCAGATAATTAACCCCAAAGAATAAATGTCTGCCTGGTACGAGTACTTTCCATAGCGTATTTCCGGTGCCATATAAGATCTCGTTCCGACATTGCTCGTGAACGTGCTGCGATCTTCTGGGAGGATCCATCTTGCGAGGCCTTTTGAAAATATACAGAGTGGTTTAAATGTCAGGTTATAATGGAAAATTTTTCAATGGGAAAGGTTCGCAAATCTTCATTAGTTACCGAAATTCGGGTTCTGAAATTCAATATTTTAAGAATTTTGTCATCAATTTTCCATAAGTTTTGATAAAAATTAATAAAAATCTCAATCCCAAATCAGTAACTAATGGAAATTACCGAATTTTTCCTATTGAAAAATTTTCCATCGTAACCTGACATTTAAACCACCCTGTATTTACATAAATAAAGCTACAAACGGTTGACAAAAATTTCGAAAACCTACCAGAATCTCCAATTTTAACTGGCAGTTCGTACTCGAACCAGGAGAACATAATGTTTTCTGGTTTAAGGTCACGATGTATGACGTAATTCTTATGCAAGAATAGCATCCCCTCAATCAGGTCTTCCACAATGGCGGCTTGCTTCATTTGGGTATAAATCAAGTCTTTGGATGGGTTGAATTTGTGCAGCCAATGTCGCAAACTCCATCCGCAAAGTTCCATTTGAATGCACGTCCATTTCACGGGGACCCCTTTGCGTTGTTCAGTTTTGTATCTATGTAGCTTCAATAGTGGGGTCCGATAATTGGATAATATTTTCCACTTGAGAAGGCGACAAGACTTTATTCTCGACGAATTTATAAATTCGACAAATATTGTTGTGTTTTTTAAGGGTGAGTGGAATGTCGAACTCGCGACGTGCCTTTTCGTCCGTTTGGTTAGGGAGAAATTTTACAGCGTAGAAATTTGTGTCAATTTTTCCCTTAAGAACGACACCAATGCACCATGACCAAGGCAAGATTCGAGCGTTGTTATTTTATCGATGAAATCTAGGAGGGGAGGATGATTCAGGCAAAGGATTGACAGGTCAGTGGCTGTAGGGTCACGAATTTCTGGGTATTTTGCAGCCATGGTAATATGTTTTATCGGACACAATCCGCTAAAAACTGGAGTATTGGCAAAATGGCGAACCAACTCCTACGAAGTCGATGATGTGGCTTCTGCTAATCCTCTCGAGATAAAGACTTATCTCGGACTAAATTCCATTCCTCCTGAGTACTGTTGAGTTGCCATTGCTGTAAATGTGTAATCTTATGAATACAAATACATTTACATATGTATCACGCTGTTCAACTGCACTCTAAAAAATTCCCGTTCTGCTCTGGTGATCGGAGTTTTTACCATTTCTTTGGTACCTTTTCTTTGCCTTATAATAAAGTGTAGCCGAGCGTATTTACACTCCGGTGTGTGCTCCCACTTCGTCATTCCAGCATAACTTAGGAATAACACATTTCAACATCATTTGTAAATGGTCGTGGCGAATTTTATAACGCAATTGGCTCACACTACACTCTCAATAATTTTTTGACGATATTGTTACCGGCGGAGGTACTATGCAACTCTACCGCTGGGTTAATAATTTATCACCGAAGGGTAGCATATATACAGAGGCTAAATCCTGCTCAGCCCCCAATGTCAACGCTCAGGTAATAAAAGTATTACCGATACCGAAGGCAATTTCTTACCCTCAGAACACAATTTGTTACTATAGTGTTACCACGCATTAGAGTTGCATATTATCTCCGCCGGTAACAATTTTGTCAAAAGATTATTGAGAGTGCATAATTTATTTGTATGGCTACAAATGTGTGTACATATATGTATCTATGTGAAATATGTAATTAATGTGTCGCGATTGATGTATGAATGCATTAATGATGTATGTATTAATCAAAGTCATATGGATGAATACATGCATCATTACATATGGACCATATCTATTTACAATAAAAAATAATTTAAACTTTTTTGAATGAAAGAAAAAAATGTATTTTTCACATATTCTAGATAGGTTTTATTAAACACATTTTGTTATCATTTTATACTTTAGAATATTAGAATTTTATATATTTGTATTTCCATAATTTTTCATACTACAAATTGTGAAAACCTTTTCTATATAAATTATTATGTGCGAAGTGTATCAATGTGTAATATCCATGAAATAAAATAAATTTAGTTCCTACTTTTTCCATCGAACTTTTGAATTCAATTTTTTGTAGACATTATTTCTTTTAATGTACATTTGTCGCACAATTGTGGATAACAAACGTTTACGGAAGTATTTTATCAATTGAATATTTTTGTCTTGGTTTTAAAGGGGTTTTAATTTTGTGCATTTGAAAATAAACGATGTGCAATTTCTTTATCGTTCCTAAATTTTATTTGCAGCATTTAAATTTTTTTTGAACGTATTTTTCGCATTGTGTTAACCTATTTTGTACACCTGCTAAAATTTGAAATTATCAAATTAAAAATAAAATGTTTGAGGGTTGAATAGCAGAAAAAGTCCTAATCTGTGTGTATGTACAGTAATTTTACATTTTGTCTATGCAAACCATTCCTTACGAAAACGAAAATGAAAAGCATAACATGGTGGGTATTGATCGAGTAGGGAGCCATACGTAGTTGCATTAAGATGTGCCCGATTTCCAGACATATGTACAAGAAAGGAATGTGCCATCATCAATACATTTTATTTAAGTAAGAACATACAAACCTTTGGGTTAAGTATTTTAGAACAATGAAATCTACTGATGAAAAAATGAGATCCACAGCGTGATATGTAGAACAGATTATGTGATATCGTACATTCCGGATTTATTTGCTCAAAATACTCATAATGTGCATAATGTTAAAAACTCAAACTTAATATTTGTGTTAGAAAAATTAATTATTGAACTTAGGTTAAATACATAATATGTATTTGATGTATGTACATATTATGTACATACACACATACATACTTCTGTATATGTACGCAAGTATGTGTGATTATTCATTGCTTATTTTATGCAACAATTATTTGATTGCAAGGCCTTTGGCAAACGGGGATGAAAAGATATTCATGCGTAAAACATGTATTTGCATATGTACGTCCATTGAGAGAAAGGATGCAAAACCAAGCAATAATATTACCACAGTTCTTAATTAAAATTAAGGAAATTACAATAAGAAACAACGTTTAATTAGATGATGTAGCTAGTCGGTATGTGGGCGTCATGATCAATTTTGAAAAGTAATTTAAGAGTATAGCAATTTTTTTCTCCATTCACCACTATCCTTCGATACGGCGTCGAACTCGCACTCTGTCGTGCAGACTTTTTCATCCGCTTCCAAAGTTTTTGCTTTACACTTCATCAATATAATTCCTTCCAGTCCGTCTTTAATTGTAATTGTGCCAGTGCATTCCACATTTTTAAGTGATGCATTCCTTTTAAGAACGAGAATACTATTACATTTGACTTCTTCAAGATTACAATTTAATGCATCAACAAATATGTGCAGTTCCGCGGGACAATCCGAACGTTTTGACAGAGCGGAATCATTTCGAGTCTCAGCGCTTAACGATTTGGTTTGAAGATTTTCTAGCTGGTTACTCCACCCAACGCGTTTAAGGAAAGTATTTTGACATTCTACATTTATTCGGACACGACCTTTCGTCACAAATAAATCCGAAATGTCAAAGACTTCGTACACACTACTAACTAGAAAATAGTTGCAAGTAGTGTTTTCAATCTTTACACGTTGCAATATATTGTAAGAACCCCAAAAAGTAATACCATGGTAGTAGCAATTTTCTTGAAAGTAGCCCTTCTGATGTACTGTTAGTGTAACTGTAACGTCCTGCACTTTATTATGACATCCTAGTAATGATATACTTGCATACTCCGTATTTCCATAAATAGCGAGTTTCAAATTTGAAAGAGTGCAATAATTTGCATTGATATGGATGCGATTATCGGCACCTAACTCAATAACAGTGTTTGGTCCAGAACCAATAATGCTCACGTTGTCCATGCGCAGATCGATGCCACCCAGGTAAGTCGTCTCTACCAATCGAACGATGCATCCACTTGAAACAAATCTGAGACATAGTTGCAACTCTTCGCTTGTTCTCGCGACAAGTTCTTGGTAGCGAATTTTAATATTTTCTAAATTCAGTAATGTGTTGGCCTGAGTCACACTTTTCAATCTGTTACTTAGATTCTTTTTTGTGGAGGCTGTAATAACTTTTCTTAACCCATGACCAAACGGATGCATCTCTACTACTTCTTGATTTCCATCATTTACTAACTTGTCGAATAAACTAGCCCTTTCATTAGTATGAATCAATGCCGTTATTTCCCATAGAACTAACCCCAAAGAGTAAATATCAGCCTGACAGGTATAGTTCCCTTGCATCGCTTCGGGTGCCGTGTACAAAGTAGTGCCCACGCTGCTGATGAGTGTGTTTCTATCTTCTGGAAGGATCCATCTCGAAAGACCTTTTTAAAGCAAATATACACAATTCGTATTTCAAAAGGTTTACAAAAATTTGGCATATCTACTTACCAATATCCCCAATTTTTATTGGAAGATTGTACTCGAAAGAGGCGAATAAGATATTTTCCGGCTTAAGGTCGCCATGAATAATTTTATTATTATGCAGGAATGTGAGGCCTTTCGTTAGGTCCATGACGATGGCCGCTTGCATCATTTGAGTCAAAATTGAGTCGCTATTTGGTTTAAACTCGTCCAGCCAATGCCGCAAATTCCGACCGCAAAGTTTTTTCCCAGAAAGTACTCTGTCACTATTTTGGTGCTATGGCACGTACAGATGTTCGGCCAAAATAAAACGTGTTTGTTTTTGGTAGAGGGGGTCAATCTCTTGATGACACACTCTTTCAAATAAAGTTAAAAGTTCATGTTCTTGGTGGAAGGGCATGGATTTGAGACGCTCCCATTTTGTTCGGTCGCTAGCCATTTTATGTATTTCATTAGAAATTGTGATTGGCTTTGAATTTATATTTCGAACAAACGTCATTTTTACTTCTACATGAGTAGAACTTTACGCGATTGAAGCTTCGAGGTCAACGGGGCAGTAGTTTCCATTATCCATGACGAGAAATTTCTGGGAGTCAATTTCAACATTTTCTTAACAAGGTTTCCAAAAATTGTTTTAGCTCCGTCTTTTTTATCTTCGTTGTATTTTGGCGCAGTTTTAATGTCGCTAGTTTTGAAGCCCATCTTATTGCCTTTGATCTTGAGAAGATAGGTTTTTGAAATTTTTAGTTTTCCGTGTGCAGCCCTCACGGATCTCTTCGGGTTTTCTGTAAAAGTTTTTTCATGTTTTTTGTCGGTGTTTTGGTCTTCTGACGGACAGGTCGACAAAGCCAAATTTTATATTTTGCATTTTCACGATCCTTAGATACGTATAGTGTACGATTAATTTTGTCCGGTGCATCCCTTGACGGATAAAGTGGTCACGATCCTTTTTCCGATCCTTTTTAACTGGGTGAACCAATAGAGTGAACCTTGACACCTTCAATATGTGGGCAACTCTTATACGACCACTTGTAAAAATGGGGTAGATGAATGAAAGTTTAATCTTAGGGATAAGTTTTATTGAAATGTCATCATTTGCTTGACCCGAAAAAAAGTTTCACCTCCGCTCTGGCCCCAAAATTCGATGGCCGATTTTTTATATTTGAAAAAATAGGAATATCAACATTTCCTCTGTGACATTGGGATGAAACAAGAGGAAAATTGAATGCTAGCATGTTAAAAATGTGTTGCTTATGGACCGGCAGCAATAACTCACGTCCTCCGGACTTTGCAGTCCTCGTGCAAATCTCAAATGAGGTCGGAACAGATGATGGGTGACTGCGTCACCCTGAACTCGGAGCCGTAGCGCTACTGTGGAAAACGGCTGGCATGCCGAAACTGATCCCGTATCCTCCTCCCCTTCCTCCACCACCAGCAAAGAACAAGTCGTTGGTTGAACGCTGGGCCGATCTTCAGGCGGACGAAATGTCTTTGCAGAGAAAAAAGGCAGAATTGGAGGCGAAGAAGGAAGCATTCTGCAAAGAACAGAAAGCTGGATTGAGTGATAACCACAATTTGGCCTGACCTAGACTATAT